ACAACTGCAACTGAGAGATATAAACAATAGCATAATGCAATTATAATTAACAACAACAACAAAGAACAAATCTCAAATATGCTGCGAAAGAAGATTGCAATAGACTTCTGAACTAATGAAGAATTTTCACTACTTGATGCTCATGAAATTACTCAACGTATTCTATATATTACAGGGTTTGCAAAAATACCAATGAAACAAAACTTCAAGTCGCTAAAAGATGAAATTCGTAAATTACAACTTGCCTAGTTGAAAAACTTACTACCTACACTAAATGAAATTCCAGAGGAGATTAGAACAAGCCTACTATTTCCTTACTAATTACAAACCAAAAAAATATACGCGCAGTAGTAGCAGCACTTCATTGTGTCTATATCTTTGAATGTCTACTAGATGCTTATATTTCTGATATCAGAACACAACTATCTGAATATCCACACTTGCTAAACTCTGAAACTAGAGACATGTTTCCAATTACATCTCGTGCAGAACTCAAAAACCTAAGGATATACAAGCAACGTCTTCAAGAATACTACTTGTTCTGTACTATTTCTCTAGACTACTTTAGTATGTCACCACCTAAACTACCTCTACCATCTACACTACAGGAATTAACTCCTAAACTCCGTGAAATCTTTCCTTTCTATCCTAGAAATGCATAACACTTTAAAGATCATATTCATATCTTAAGACAGGAATACATCTTTAAAACATTATCTAATGATTATCTTATCAATAAAAGATAACTCCCTATGAATCCTACATCACTACTTCTCTCAGAGCAGTTTTCCTTCCCAATGGAAGACACTGATACGGTTAAACAGTTCTTAAATACTATTATGCTATACCTAACCCTCTTCCACTAGCCTATACTACAATCAACTATACAGATAAACCAGACCTTCCACAAGAACCTGAACTAATCACTGAAGTGAATCTCACTTTACCTATCTCTACTTCTAAAGAGCTAGTAATTGTGACAAGAGCACTTTGTGAATTTTATCATTTCTATGCAATATCATCTACATGGATAAATATATCAGAAAAACCCTCCAACTCACTTGCAGTGGACAAGCGAATATCTAATTCCAATAATAAAATAAACACCTTTATTTCTACTAAAGATCTACAATCTACTATTCATTTTCCAATTACTGATCAAAAAGATATCTCAGCAGCAATTCAATTGCTTCAACAACACTTCGAATTCAACAACTTACCAAACTTTATATTCAGTGTTTAAGATCTTCCTTCTCCTCAATGGGATCTCTTTGACAACTAATCTGCAGACAATGCTAACACAGATACAAGCTCTATGGCAATAGATGAAGAAAAATCTTCTCTAAATGAGTAACTCAACACACAACTCAAACCAGGGCATACCCAACAACAATATATCTAACTACAACAATATTACTAATACTTCACTAGAAAAAATAAGAATTGCTACACATAATATTCGTGGATTAAATAACTCAACTAAACTGCAACAATAGATTTCTTATTGTACAGAAGAGAACTTACATATTGTTTCAATTACAGAAACCAAACTAAAACAATCTGACCAATCTTTTACAAATCCTCTATACAGAATCTTTACATCTAATTACATCCCTACATCAATACAAAACAGAGAAGCAAGCCTTGATACAGCTCTAATAGTCCATAACTCTATCCAGAGCTATATTTACAATATTGGAACATACCCAGGAATAGCAATTTACCTAGATTTGTTTTTCCAAACAACAATAGATGCTGTATTATATCAGTATATTTACCATCTAATTATCCAGAGCTCTTTACTCGTACACAACAACAGATCAATTTGTGGATATTAGAAGCAAAACAAAAAAACTAGCATATTATAATACTTGGAGATTTTAACTCACATATTCGATTAAATAAAAAACAATTTACTCTTTTAACTAATCTTTCTCATAATAACTATATCAGCCTCCTACAATTTCACAATATAACTATTCTTACATGGCAAAACAACTACTCTAGTTCACAAATTGATGACAAAAGAGTTTCACTAAACATACTACTAGATCTTGACCCTCCAGATCTGATTAATATAATTGGAATCTCAGATAGTGACTATTTAATTATATGCATAACCTAGTATATAAACTTTCTACCTCCTGTCTCTAGGAAAAAAAGTAAGGAAAGGAAGATATACTTATATAATAAAATGACAACAGAAAACTGAGAGAAATTTAAAGATAAAGTAGATTCTTTAACTCAGCCTTTGACACAAAGCACAGATATTATAGATATTACAGTTAACCTTCTCTAAACCGATCCTGTTAAACCTGATAACTTGCTATAATCAGTTAAAAATCAAGCCACCATGTCTGGTCCATAATTAATATCCGATAACCTGTAATTTCTAATAACCGATAGTCTTTATATCTAAGTTTCTGATTTATTAATATGTGTAACATAGAAAGAATCTAATCAAATCACATAAAATTTATGCAGGTGGCAATGAAGCTTGATAGAGCCAATGAATACTAAGTTTTTTGAGCTCTATTCACGTAACTATTGATCTCCATTGGCTCCATTGCCAACCTTGTTTCCACGTGATTTACATTATAGTCTTTGTATATAGACTCATTCTTTGCATGTTAAATTCGTGTATGCAATTTAAATCCTTTGCTTTCTAAACTTAGTCATTACTATAAATCTATTCGAAAGCTTTAGGATCTATGAACTATACTAGGCCCAGATACTGTATTGTATATGGTCATTTATGGTACACAAAATTTTTTATTAAGGTAATCTTAAAATGAGGTATTGAAAACAAACTTAAATTATTGTTTCGATCTGTAATCCGAGATCTGAACTAATTCTTAAATTTATAAACTTAGCTATTCAATTAGAGATGTTTACTCAGATTAGACAAAAACTTAAATAATAGACCTAAGGATGCATTCAAAAGTTAGCTTTAATATAATCTGAGACAGATTCAATTCAAATTTAATTAATTCAGATGGTCTGTCAGAATAGGATCGAAACACTAACTTAAATTATTAACTTGTCACATTATACTAGATAAACACTAATTAACGCTCTATATGTACTCACTAATAACTGATAACATTTTTTTATATTTATTTATAGATATTTTTGTCTACTATGAAAAAAAAAAAAATTTTACCTGTTTGTAATTAATTTTTTTGAAGCTTATTAATCATTCAAACCTTTAAAAGAATTGATCCAGTGTAGATTAAACCTGTTTTTCAGCCTCTTCCTTTTGGATCTCCTCACGAATTTGTGATTAAAGCTTGCACAAAGACTTCATTGTAACTTCACTATCATCAATTCTTTTATCAACAATTTGCAGAGCATTGCGCAGAATATCTAACTATTCTTTTCCAGTTAAGGGTTGTATAATCACTTTATTTTCTACATAGTCTATTTCAGTAGCAGCTTAAACAAAGTTATCATCGTTAAATTGTTGGTGTATCTCTGCTTTTTCCTCTTCAAGGTCTAATAAATCTTTAATCGGCATTGGATTATGAATATACAATACATTTAGTGTTTGCTGAAGCTTCTCAGTTGTTAATTCATCATCTGAATTGATAAATATATTTTCTTCTATATCTTCAATAAGAGGAGGTAGGAGAGGTGAAACAACTAATACACTATCTTTATCATGTGGTGATATAATTTTCATGTGAAACTAGCAATTTTTGATCATACTAGCAGATACTTCATCCTATGCAACCTTTATTTGTGTTAACCAGTAATGATATTTAGGTTAATTAAAAAAATATGAACATACTACATCATCATGAAATAATACCCTAAGGCATTATTTCAAGACTCATTCTCATTACTTGAAAAAAGCTAATAATTAATTTAACTATTGTATTAAAAACTTTTCTAAATTAATTATTATCTTTTTTTAAACAATGTGTCTCTAAATAACACCCTAGGGCGTTATTTTATGATAATACAAAAAAATTTTTTAATTAAACACACAATTATAGATAGACTTAAACTATTTGGGATGTCCCAAACCAAGTAATAAATTAGTATTACATGGTTTCAGCAATATACTGAAATCAATGTAATGCAAATTATTACTTGGTTTAGAACATCCCAAATAGTTTGGATTCTATGTTCAATTTTTTTTAATGAAAAACATCTCCAATACTAACTTTTGCTCATCTCATAGCCTGCAATTGATCGACTTTATAGATATCACTTTCTCTGGATTCATCATGATCAATTGCATGTTGAAGTTGCATATGATGATAATGAAGCTTAAATGATGCAATAATACCAGCATCTATTGGCTGGATCTTTGATGTAATATACAGAGGTAATTTAAGCACTTCTACATTAGTTAAAGAAACAGCGCCAGTAACATGCGAAGTAGTACCATCTAGGATGAGTAAAACATGACAGTTTGAATTTTTCATTTCTTTGTCAAAATTTTCATCATATTAGGCTTTATGGTGAGAGTAGTTCTGCTGATCTTGAAGCTATTGAACTAAACCTTCCTAATATTATTTGTAAAACTGATAAATATTCTCTAAGAAATATTTATAATATGGATGAGACTGGATTGTTTTATTCTATAGCTCCTGATCGTACTATTGCATCTCGTCAAATTGAAGGATCAAAAAAAAATTATATATGACTTATGATTGCACTTACATCTAATGCCAATGGTACACACAAGCTTCAACTCTTCATTATTGGTCATGCCAAAAAACCTAGGTGTTTTAAAAAAAAAACTGGTATGCAACTTGGGTTTTATTATCATAACAATTAAAATGCCTGGATAACCGCTCTGTTTTTTCAGTTAATAATTTAAATTAAAAGATTAATTAGTCGAATTTGTAAAAATTTATAATGAATAATATTAATCTGTGAATATCTACGTATAAAAATAAATATTTAATTAAATAAAATTTATGAAATGTTAAGAGTTAGATTATTTACACAAATTTTGTAAATACTTTTTTTTTTTTTTTTTTTTTTTTTTTTTAAAATACAATTAAAAATTTTAAGTTTTTT